CTCTCCTCAGGACTTCCCCCAGCTGTACGAGGAGGCTCGGTACTACCAGCTGACTCCGATGGTGCGCGAGCTGGAGCGCTGGCAGGCGGAGCGCGAGGCCCAGCGGACGGCGCCCTGCGAGTGTCTGGTGGTCCGCGTCACACCTGACCTGGGCGAGAGGATCGCGCTGAGCGGCGAGAAGGTCCTCATCGAGGAAATCTTCCCCGAGACCGGAGACGTGATGTGCAACTCGGTGAACGCCGGCTGGAACCAGGACCCGACCCACGTCATCCGTTTCCCTCTTAACGGGTACCTGAGGCTCAACTCTGTGCAGGTGAGTCCGCTCGCCAAGCGTTCGCCACACGCCAGGAGAGGCGGGTCTCACCTGTGCCTCCGTGTCTCCCTGCAGGTCCTCGAGCGCCTCTTCCTGAAGGGCTTCGAAATCAAGGCGTCCTGCGGCGGCGGCGTCGACTCGTCCCAGTTCAGCGAGTACGTGCTGTGTCGCGACCTGCAGCACAGCCAGTCCGTCACCAGCACGCCAATCCGGATTAAGCAAGAGCCTCTGGACTAAAGAGCAGCGGTGACCGTGTCACCTGAGCACGCCGAGCACACCTGGCGCAGAGGCCTCAGGAGGCGGGGCTTGGCTGCCGTGTACATAACGTTTTTTCTAGGTGTCGTTACATTTTTATAACGTGCTGTTTGTATATTTAACGTCTTTGTAGCTCAGCTGTCTCATAAAAGAAACCACACAAAGCTCCGCCCACTTTCTCCTTCTCTTTATTTCATTTTTTTTGCAAAGGTACAAACGACTGTAAAACGGCCCGGCGGGCCTCAGGTGTGAATACACAACGTAGGAAATATAAATAGTCCCAAAAATGGCGTCCTTCAGTTCATAGGGCTCTACGCCATCGCCACGCAGACCGACATTAAAGCGTTAAAAACCTTCCGGAAACTTTCAAACTGCATTTCAACCACGAGGCTCGAGTCCAGTCGCACGCAGCCGCCGCCAGGAGGAGGAGCACTTCCTGTTTCACCTTAAAGGGACAGTCTGTCAGTTTACCTGCTGAGAGTCGTGACGTTCAGACCCCGCCCCCTTCCAATGAAGCCACTCGTCATCAACGTTTTTTCTAAAGAAACGACTTCATGAGGAAAAATGTTTGTTAGGCTACAGTTGCCCTACGGTAACCGCGGTAACCACAGTTGCTAGGGAAAATAAATAAATCTGCATTCTGCAGATGGCGCTGCATTAAAATCCTCGTGATCGCGCGGCTGACGTTTTCAGAGCTGCAGGGAAACCACGCCGGAAGTTGTAATAGCTCACCTTCAAAGTAAAAGCTTTGGCGTCACAGGCAACAAGATTTTAGCGCATTTGCAGACGAGGTGCGCGTTGAGCAGGCGAGAACAACGGGTGGTTACCAGGGCGCCAGTCTGCGTTACCAGGATATTTGTCATTTCATTATCTGAGGAAAGAATCAGCTGAAGGTCGCGACTGAAACTGGACGTCGATCTTTCCAATCGATAAAAATTCTCAGGTTGTGAAATCGCGCTTGCTACGTTTTACGCTCGATTTGCCCGAAAACGCCACGACGTCACCGATCTGACCGTCCGGCTCTCACACAGATCTGTCTTAATGTTAAACCGTTCCTTTGACGAACACAACATCGTGAAAAGAAGCTCCTCCCATCACGTGAC